CGTACTTCCGTTACTTTTTTTTTTTTCAAATATTTTCTTCACTTATATCTCTCAATATGCATTTCTTTAAACAAAAATGTGTGGATAAAACAAAAAAGGAAAATTAAAAACAAATAGAAGATAAGAAGTAGAAGTAGAAGTAGAAGAAGTAGATAAAGAAACAACAACAAACAATAAAATTAACAACAAATTAAATAATAAATATATCACATAAAAATGTAATCTCGTTTATTCGTGAGTTTGATCTCAAAAACGTTTCGATCATTTCGCAACAAAATGATCAAACCTTTCTAATGATATTTTACGAAAAGAATTAATTATATAATAATTTACAATTGAATTAATAATAAAATATATATATATATATATAAATAAGAAATAAAACGTTAGAGGTGTTTTTTTTTTGGGTGATCGGAGCTTTTAGTGTAAGCTTTCGAAAAGAGTTGTGACCGTCGCGACGGTCGGAGTAATACTGCGATGCTCGGTCGCGACCCGGTATCCCCCTCCACGATCAACCAGCAGCCGATCGACCAATCCCCTTCGGAGCTTTCCGCCGTGATGCCCGAGCTTTCCTCTGGAACCGCGGGCCGCGCGAACTCAGACCGCGCGCGGTTCTGGATATACCTGTATATATATATATTGATATGTACGCAAGCTCTTTCTCGATGGAACAACTGGGGGTTGTATTCTTCCTAGAAAACCAACTCCTCTCTCACGTGTTGCTTCACCGTAAACACAGAACCCCCGACTCACTACTTTTAATCCGATGACGTAGATTTATCCTATCCATATAAGCTCAACTTTTTGACAACTACGAATGAAATACTACTGTATTACTTTTTTATTCTTATTCTTATTCTTATTCTTCTTGTGCTGCTTTTTCAATTGCTTTTTTTTATTATTTTTTTTTTTTTCCTATCATTTTCCACTATTCCGTCAATCTCTCCTGTCCCCCTTTTTTTCCTATTTCAACTTTTTCTACCAATTCAAATATGTCTTCGACAAATCAAACTTTTCCTATCGTTCTTTTTCCAAAGTCAAAGTCTCTTTGACTTTTCACGACAGAATTGGTGCGAGCCAATTTGTTTGTTTTTTTTTTTGCATCTCGAATTAATGCACAGTTTGTTTTGCCTTTTTTTATTTTTTCATTGTTTCTTTCTTTCTTTCTTTCTCTGGTTTCATTTATGCAAATACTTTTTTGTCATTTATGTAATAATTCTATGTATTTTCTAATAATTTGTTTACTTTTTATTTTGTTCCATCCGTTTTTCTATATTTACGTTTTAATATCTCCCATTTTCCTTTTGTATTTTCTTTGAGACTTTCAAAACAAAAGAGTCTTTGAGCTCTTATTCATTCGATGTTATTATGAAATAGGATTAAAATCTAACAATAAGCTCTCTCTCTCTCTCTCTTCCCATAACGTTGTAATAAGAATGTAAATTTGTTTACAGTTGTTGGATTAGTCTAATAAACAAACAAAAAAAAAAAAAAAAGCGTTTTAAATGCTAATCGAAAAACGATATAATATTTATTCATCCACGTATGTACGTAGAGATGAATTTCGGTTTTGTTGATTTTAAATATTCATTCAAAAATATCTGATGCGATAAGAGCAACTCGTGGAATCATTGAAATTCGTTAATGAACGAACAGCAACATTGTTGTTTTTGATTCAATTTTTGATTACAATAAGGAAGCTTCGAATAAAAGGTAACACACTGTATATATTTGATTTGATTTTAAAACTGAAATAAACATTTCTATTATCCAAGTATTATTATTCTTGCAATTTTAAACATTTCCGTAGATACGTATCTTACAAAATAAATTATACACGATGTATAAAACCCATTGTTTATGGGTTACTTTCAGAATTGTTTCAAATTTTTAGTGAAAATGCATGAATGATAGATGTTTCCCATTTTTATATTACGAATAAAAACGTTTCCTTAATAAATGTTACATAATTATTATTACGGTCGTTAAATGATAATTTATAGGTTTATTTAACAAGTTAAGTGCATTCGACGTGTATACACGTCCGACCAAATCTCTATTGCGATACGTTTGACGTGTATACTTGTTGTGTAAAGTAAAAAATTACCATCTTAATATATATAAATTACGTGTCACGTTGTTTGTCCGCAATGGACTCTTAAACTACTGAACCAATTTTAATTAAATTTTCCACACTGTGTACAGTTTCATTCAACTTGAAAGATAAAATAGTTTATATCATTTTAACAGATGGCGGTATAAGGTAATTCGTTGACTTAAAGACGTGTGTTGTATCGGACTGATTGTGAACCACAGCTATTACCACAGGTAAATAAAAACACGTGAGATTGATGAGAGGTTAAATTTATCAAAATCAACTGTTTTTATGTCCACTTGAAAGGCTTAAGGTTTAAACTTTAAAGTGAACATTGTCTTCATTTTTACAAAAGATAAATCAAATGACTTTCCGAATCAACCCAATAGAAAGTGGATAAAACATGCAAGAGAGGGTCTCTTTTAGAATCGTAAACATATCGTTGGAATCTGTCCAACTCTCGTTAATTATTGGTTCACGATTATCCTTTTCGTGGTTTCTCTTGATGGTACGTCGTTCGTTTAATTTACCATAGTAACTCGTGGTTCACGTGTTGCTTCAACGTGAATGTCAATAAAGTGTGTACATATTGTTCAACAAAGAATCGCTTATGAAACTTTGTGACTTTGTTTAAAAAAAATAAAACAAAAAAAAGTAAACTTAAGTCTTTACTGTTTTCTCTTCTTTTTTTTTCTTCATACACGTTGATAAATTATTTCAGGGTGTTCTATGTAAACTCACGTATGTGTAATCGCAGTAATTATGTTTGTATTAAAGTTATAGAAAATGAGATTGTCAAGAGGAAGATTTATAATGAGGAACGGATTAATTACACGAAAGTTGTAACAGATTGTAAGTCATACTATCTGTTTGTTTCTCTCTCTCTTTTTTTTATTTTTTTGCGTTGAAAGCTCTAAAACTAGCAGATTGTAACATTCAGAAAACTCGTCTCTTCTAAACTTTAGTTTTATCGTGGGAATAGCTATTTATTTATTTATCTTATACTTTTACGATTTATTTCTTTTTCAAAACGAAACTTTGTTCTTTTATTTCAAATTTTTGTTGGTCAAAGTCCATTGGCAGTAAACATGGGTAGATCAAAATAACTGAAAACTTTTTTAAGTTGACTATAGATATGAAACATTTAAAAAGAAGGTTTCTTGAAAAGTGACTACCCAAATCTTTGTAACACGTAAACGAAAGCTCGTAAATTATTCTTCCCCCTCTTTTTTAAATTCAAATTTTATTCCAAAGTTTCAAACTATTGTCTTAATCGTAAGATCTGAATTTGATAAATAATTATTTGAAGATAAAAAGTAAAAAAGATAAATGACAAATACTTTAATTCTTAAGGATAGTTTGAAAAGAGTAGTAGAAGAGCATTATGAGAGAGAAAGCAGTTGTTGTATGTACAGTCGACTGCTTCCTTCACCGACTTGGAATCGATTTTCTTGCGGTTATTCACCTCTGTAAAACGTGCAGGTACTGTAGCAGAAAAGCGGAATGATCGATGAAAAGTAACAACTATTACTTTGTTCAGCCGCTGACACTAGAGTCTCCTTAATAAAGTGAAAATTCACTGATTCAAAGATCAACTTATACAAAAGAGTAATAAATATTGTTGATTTCAGTTTATTTTTCAATTTATTTGATAAATTACAAAATTATTATAAATATTAAGTCGAGTCCTAAATAACTGTCCGTTTTTTATAAGACAAACAATGACGTTTCTAAGACTGATAAGTGCAAAACACCTTTCATGCAGTTTTTTCCTTATCCTCATCTATACAGTGATATCAAAAATTCGTTTGTTTTAGTAACTTACAGTAGAAAATTACTTATGACTCGAACTAATATAATAACATATTCGATATTCGATAATAAATGTAATAACATAATCGATCATTCAATTCAATTGTCAATTAAGCGAATAATCGATTTACACCGAAGCCAAACAAACAATCGAAATATCGATTTGCCTAAATACTTGAGGAAAATATTCATTTTGAAACGTTTAGATGCCACTACAACAAATTCTCTCATTTCAGTTTTTTTTTTTTTTTTTTTTTTTTTTTAATTAAAATCAAAATCAACCTGTATGTACGATATGAAGTACCTTATACCTTGTATCTTTTCAATTAAAATTAAAGGAATTTGTTAAATGTTTAACCAAATTATTTCAAATTGCTAACCACAATGGTTTATTATTTATCATGAACTATTTATGATGATAAATATCCATAGAAAAATAATAAATTCAACGTGTGATAATATTTTAATATCAATTGTAAAATAATAATAATAATAATACGTGAAAAAACAACCAACCAACCAACCGAATAACTTTGTTTGTTATCAAGGGAACGACATATCCACATTTATTCCCAGATCGGGGAAGATCGGAAAAAAATATAAAGGTCATCGTAATCGACGTTTAAATAAAATCATACATTTTTCAACATTTATAAAATGAAATGAGAATTTTTAATGATAACATTTATTAATTATAATTATAATATTGAATCAATAATGTAACTTCGTTAATATAATCAATTGTTTGACCAAGGTGGTAGGTTTTTTTATTGCGTTAAGATATCATTTTGTCATCGATTAAAACAAATCTACTTACGTTAGATCTGATTTTTTTTGTTTGTTATAAAATTACAAAAAAAATCTAATTAATAAAAATAAAAATGAAGAAAATAATGTAAAAAACGAAAGGAACGTTTAAACGGGGTAATTAATCTCATTGGCAAGTGGCAGTGGTGGTAGGGGATGGGAATATGTGAGAAGGGATGGTTAAGTTCTGACGTCAGACGAACGACGATGACGACGACGAGGAGAAGAAGGAGGAGGAGGTGGAGGAAGAAGAGGAGGAGAATGGGTAAAAGGAATACGATAAAAGGTTGGACAGGGATAGGGACAGGGACCTTTTGGCAGGATTATCGATTTTCCAACGTTTCGAGGTTTCTAGAGCGACACTTGCATTGCGCAAACTCAGCAACCGTGCAACCCCCATACTGTGTTTGACGCTACGAGAATTTCCGAGTGGCGGAGAAGCGTCGCGAGTGTCGCGAGAGCGTCGATTTCGTCGCCATGACGAAAATCCGCGATAAATTATCTATTTTATTCGAGTCAAGATTAAACCATCGTCGTCGTCGTTGTCGTCTCCTCACTGTCCCACTTTAAATCCCATTGTCTTTATTCGTTCTTTATCCATAAGAGACAACAGTTAAACACAAAACCATTCCTTTGTTGTGCATTTAGATGCAACTAAGTGCATGAAAAAATGCACAAGGAAAATGTTGTTATTTTCATTGACGTGACCATTCGAACCTGTTTCTCTAACTAATTAATATAATATACAGATATATATATATATATACATATGTTAACATATCAGGTGCTTGGAATTCTCAAAAATGGCTGACAGTTGCGTAACAGTTGCGTGCTTCCTGATCATCGTTTCGATCGTTCTCTCCGATGGTAAGTGATTGATTATGCACTCCTTCCTGTCTCTACTAACACTGTCTACCATCTTCTTTTATCTACTTATCAATATATACGTATATGTATACATGTATGTATGTATGCAACATTTGACATGCGGTGCTACTACTGTGTGCCTACATTTTACATGTTGCGCGATTTAAATTACAGTTCATATACCAGAATGAAAATATGTATGTCGGTAATTAAGATAATCGATTAATTATTAATGAACAAATTCAAATTATTTATTCATCTAAATAATTGTTAAGGATTAATTGTTGTAAATTTTATTCACGTGTGCAATATGCAGTAAGTTTTCTTTCGATAACCAGGTCAATTAATGACGAAAGAACATCGAACTAATGCTGCTTCCGAAAGGCCAAACAACTTGTGGTGTTATCAGTGTGATTCCATGGACGATGGGGATCTGTGCTCCGATCTTCCCTATAATTATTCTTCTTTTATGCACAAGTGTAAGGACGATAAAAGAATTTGCATGGTAAGAATAATTAATAGTAATAATTATCTTGTCAAATTGTTTATATTAAATTTTGTCTTTTCCATGATTTTATTGTTGTAAAATATGTATAGTTCGAATGGAATTATTTTGCAGGTGAAACGATTCTCTTATACTACGAGTACGGAAAATTCAACTTCAAGTCCTCACGTGTGGTCCTTGGAAAGAAATTGCACGAGTAAATGCGAACCGGGTTGTATAGTAATCGGTGAAAGAACAAAGCTTTACGCTTGCACGGCCTGCTGTGATAAATCTTTATGCAATACCGGAACCGGAACTGCCAATGATCTTACGATGAAAGAAATAAATTTTCTATTAGCGCTTATATTACAAATCGTTTTAACAATTACCATGTATTCGTCGTGACACTATCGATCAAATATCAAATGATACTAAGTTTTATTACTCGACTTACTTTTATTTCATCGTACACCAAATATTATCCTTCCTCCTATATATTTCTAGTAGATGATCTAGTTACTAGTAATTAGAAAATTTTGGGAAGAAACGTTCAAAGTGAAATAACTTACGGAAATAATGAAATTGGTCGTTTCCGTTGGAAAATACAAGATTCATATCACAAAGTTTCTCGGAAGATAGACGAACTCAAAGTTTCACGAGAAATTTACATAATTTTAGATATCTCTCGGTTGAAACAGTCATTACGTGAAAGTAAAGTAAATTTTCCATAAAACTCGTATTAATGTAAATTTCACTGAACAATTTTGCTGTCACTTGCAGTGACATCGTTTTTTTTTTTTTTCTTTTTCTTTTTCGAAATACCTTATTCAATCTTACAAAGATACGAAGTAGGTATTTGTTCGAAATTGTTATCGTCCTATTGTCCATTGACGTAACAATCTAATTACCTGGAGTTATCGTTAAAACAATTCAATTGAAAGTATAGAATTGGTTCGTGTCACAGGTGGTCGTCTTGGTAAGTTCGTAGTAGTCGACACTGTTGAAAGAGAATTTAGTGGAATTCGATAAATTTGAAAAGTGACACTTTGTCAGCATTACAAGAGAAAGAGAGAAAGAGCAAGAGAGAAAGAGAGAGAGAGAGTATTATACGGTTGAACATAAAGCCGCCATTATTAGAACTTGTGCTGGTTGCCAAGTACTTGACTGGCGTGCTTTTTCTAGCCCCGCAAAGCGATGCGTTTGCGTTTGCCTTGCATTCGTCGATGCGACGATGCGTTCTCGGCTGCTTCGCAGAATATCCGGCTCGTTCGTCTCTTCACTATCTGGGGTTTTTTTTTTTCTTTCTTTTTCTTCTTCTTTTATTTTCTCTCTTCTCTTCCTCCTCCTTCTCCTTCTGTTCCTCCTCGTCGTCCTCCTCCTCCTCCTCCTCCACTGTTTCTCATGGGCGCGTGCTTTCGTCGTTTTCCTCGTCCATGTGCTAGCCAGTTGCAACGCGTACGTACGGCCTACCAAACGAAACTGCACTTTTCATTAGACCTTAATTAGAAAGAATTTTTTTTCTCTCTCTCGCTCAATGTCGCGAGTCAAAGATTCTGCTTTTTTTCTTCTTTTTTTTCTTTTTTTCAATTAAACCAATCCCATAATATTTTCACGAGTGATATTTTTCCATTGTAATCGTTTGAAAAATGATACATTTGTTTTCCGAATTGACCTGAGTGATCTTTATTTATTGTATCCTCTCTCTCTCTCTCTCTCTCTCTCTCTCTCTTTCTTTCTTTGAGACAATTTCAAAGAAGAATGATTTTACGCGTTTCAAATTTGTTAAATATCATCGTATACGTCATCATGTAACATCGTCGTAATAATTCTCATACTTCATAAATTGTCAATTCTTGTCATAATAGTCACATTTGTGTATTAACCATCTGTAAAACTGAGCAACGATAAAATACAGAATATATTCTTTCCATCTCGTAGAATTGTAGTTGTTGTAACGCGTTACGTTAATATATTCTTCAATGTAATTCGCTTTATTCATAACAACCCACAGTAACTTGTACCAAAGTTTAACGAGTGTCGAGTGGTTAAAGTAGAGTAGTTGAAATTATTAAACGTTCGAGTGTGTTACCGATTAAAACATGAAGAACCTTTGGGTCCAGTAAATAAAAAAAAAAACAAAACAAAACAAACAGAAATAACATAAATTGTTATTTGATTACATATTATTTCTCTCATTGTTCATTGTTCGTGGGTGTAATTATATTTGTAGAATTTTCATCGTACGTTTTATCGAGTGTGAGATTACAGTTAGAGATAGAATTTAGTGTGTGATAAAACAACCGTAGTGAATTTAATTAATGCGACCAGGTTTGTAAGCATGCCACAATCGAAACTCACGAGTTTGCTAATAACAACGTGGTTGTTCGCAACAGTGGCCACTAAATCGCGAATCGACGAGCTCGTCCAAACTTTAACCGAATACGAGATTATATATCCGAGAATAATAACGTATGATTATTCATCTTCAATATTGCACGATCAAAGATTACCATTGATAAATTATTCGACAAATACCACGAACGTGATCATTCAAAATTGGACACTTGTAACAACGATCAATGATCGATTAACACTTACCAATGATCTATTAGATGAACACCAAAATTTCAATTGCAATCTAAGATATGGTATTATAAAAAATTATGAAAATTCATCGTCAGTTGTTTTGACGATTTGTTTCGATGAAATTTATGCATTTTTCATCGTCAATGATAAATCCTTCTTTGTGGAACCTTTGAACGATGGTAAACATATCTTTTATAAATCGAATAATACCAAATGGTGGTCATCCAAACAACTATCAAAAAGTAAGAAGATATTACTAAATAATAGAATTAAATTTACAAGAAACTAACTGTTAAAAAAAAAAAAAACAATGAAAATGTACTTTTATTTCTACAACGAGAATTTAACATCTCATTGCATTAATGACAGATGTACAAGTAATTATAAAAATAATGTTAATTACAAGATTATCATATTTTTGTTTTCTGATATTTATAATTGATAAAATACTAAGCAGTAAAGAGTGTAGTAAGTTAAACATACAAGTTGTAGGTGGATCTGACTGCCACTGTGCGAGATACCGAGTGTTTATTTAGTATCCCAAAGCTGGTACTGCATCGGTATTAACATTTCAATGCTAGGAACGTAGCCAGACGTGTCCACTAGTAGTAGTGGCATTCGTATTCTTAGTAAAACGCTATAGATCCTCTACACCTGCCATGTTACGGCAAATACGGGATATGACCCAGTTCCTATCTCTTTCTCTCTCTCTCTCTTTTATCCCATACTACGTTTCACACATACTTATATATAAAGAAGATATATACCAATTATATTATTATAACAGTTGGTTTCTTTTTTTTTTTTTTTTTTTACAATGAAATTAGAAATTTCTTGTCAAATGATTTTTTTTTTTACAGATTTTGGTCAATCGATCGAAATTTTACCTTATTTTTATTACGAGAAGAAAGAAAATCAATTAAATAGTTCAACAAGACGATCAAAACGTGATACTAATGGATATTATAATTTAACTGGAGATGTATTCGACATGGAAAATTTTCATTTAGATGATCTTGAGGATAATGAAAAATTCTTGAAAAAAACTGACGATGATGTTATGATTGAACGATTACCATCTAAGAATGATCCCGAGGATGTTGGTTATTTTTCTAATCCATCTTGGAGCAGAAGCAAAGTACCGAGTACATGAACATTTTTTTCCCCCCTAAACACGTTCGTTTCAATCATCCAATAATTTAATTAAACTTTTTTTTTTTTTTAATATTCATCGTCATACATTTCAATTTCATTTATCATCCATTCCAAATTCATTTTGAATATCGAGATAATTAATAATAATATCGTTTGTTGTTGCGTCTTATAATTGCATTACAAATAATCGCGGTTACGTTTTATTAACCTGTCAACATAGAACGGAAACAATTACCACCACGATGGTTGGAGGTTGCGATAGCTGCGGATTATTCCGTTATCGAGTTTCATGGTTCTCGTGTTGAACAATACATTCTTGCACTTCTCAATATTGTAAGTAAAATAAATATTATTAATAATGATATTTATAACGATAATTACACACTCTATGTACAATTATAATTAAAATTAAATACGAGAAGTACTACTTCATTTCACTTGAACCTTTTTTTTTTAACTTACGATAAAAGTGAAAATAAGTTTCAATGAAATATAATATCCCTGGAGTTAATTAACCATTAATTAAGATAATAATAGTTAATCGTAATAAATAAAATCAAGATTATCAACGAAAATAATTCTCTTATTTTTCCATTTTGTTTTAACCGAATAAGGGGAACATTAAAATCAACGATTACGATACTCGACATTTTTCAGGTCAGTGCAGTTTTTAGAGATCCTTCACTCGACTCGAATATGGTTCTCGTGGTTGCTCGGGTAATCCTTTATGCGGATAAGAGAGATAGTTTGGTAAGAACACTTTTTTTGTTGTCATTTAAAAATCAATTTTAATGAATAAAAATGATTATCCAATCGATAGGTTCAAGATGGTAACTCGAGAAAATCTTTGGAGAATGTCAACAAGTGGAATCGCAAACTCTTATCCTTATCTAAGGATAGTCACGATATAGCAATATGGTTAACTCGATTAGATATTGGTGGTCCATCAGGATACGCCCCTGTATCGGGAGTTTGCGATCCTTCAAGATCTTGTACTTTGAATCGTGACGAAGGTTTAACCAGTGCTTTCATCATAGCCCACGAATTAGCACACATGTTAGTTTAATTAATATTATTTGAAATATTACAAAAAAATACAAATTATCTTTAAAACATTAGACAATTGTTCAAATTATTTGACACAGTTTGGGATTGACTCACGATGGGGATAAAACATCTGGAAATTATTGCGTGGATGAAGCTTCACTTGGTAGCGTGATGGCTCCTATGGTTGCTGCAACTTTTCATCATTTCTATTGGTCCACCTGTTCGAGAAGAGAATTTCATCGGAAAGTCAAGTAACGTTGTAAATTATTTATCACACATTTGCCTAGCATATTATATTATCTTTCATTTTGCGATAACATTTAGTAAACTAATTTCATTATTATAGACAATGGCCTTGTTTGTTGAACCGACCTAACATCGACAGTAATATTACACGATTGGATATTAACGTACAAGAAATGTTTACGATGGATGAACAATGTCGAGTGGAATTTGGTCAAGGGTGAGTTAAAGTGATCATTAAATCATACGAAAGTTTCATATTGATTTAAAATAATTAATCTACTTGACGTTTGTTCGTTCGATTAGTTATCATCTATGTAAAAGTTTTGAAATTCGTGAACCATGTTCTCGTTTATGGTGTGGCAATTCAAACATTTCTCAAATATGCAAAACTAAGAAAGGTCCACCAATGGAAGGTACACTTTGTGGAAAAAATAAAGTAAGATAATTTAAAGAATATTAAAATAATACATTTTTTTTGTGTCCATTACTTTAAATGATGTAATAAATGACAGTGGTGTGTTAATGGTCGCTGCGAAACAATGGATCGAGAAAGAACAAATTTAGAACCATTATTTTCCAATCCAAGAAATGGAGGATGGAGTGGTTGGAGTTCATGGGGAAAGTGTAGCAGATCATGTGGCATTGGTGTACAATGTAGATCACGTACTTGCAACAATCCACGGTAAAAATCATTTATCTCAATTAAAACCAAACAAAAATATAAATAAATAAATAAATAATGTTATTTTTAGGTCAGCTTATGGTGGAAAATATTGTATGGGTCCTAACGAGGATTGTAAAATTTGTGAGACAACCAAATGCTTGACAAACGTTGATCTACGTGCTCAACAATGTTCGAGATTGATCAGTATTGTAGATTTTAAAGAAATATCATCGAAATTGAACATTACATGGTTGGCTTATGAACCAGATGAAATTCAATTAAAATGCCGATTGATTTGCCGTAGCAAAGAGACCGGAGAAATATTTTCGAGTAAAAAAAATCTAATGAATGGGACTCCTTGTTCTTATGGTTCTACGGACATTTGTATTCAGGTAACGAAGAGAAACCATTATTATTTATCATATACGAAAAATAATTGACCATTAAATAATTCGTTTTTTTTTTTGTACAGGGTGAATGTAGACGTATGGGATGTGATAATATTTTCAATTCGGATCAAATATTGGACAATTGTGGTACTTGCAATGGCAACAATACTGATTGTGATAATGTTCTTAATAAATTTCAACGTAAACTACGTCGAGGTTAGTATACTAACTTCTAAATTGAATTTCAAGCTTAGAGGAGTAGTATTGCAAAGTTTACATCTTCGAGAATTATTAATAATTGATTTAATATTTGCAAAGAAATTGGGAATAGTTGGAGTTGAAATTTCCAAACTCAAAGCCTCTTGGCGATTCAATCTATTCAATCACCTTGTTTCAATTATAATTTGATTAAAACAATATTTTATAAAATAATAAATCATCGTCATTATTTACAGCAATGACACGTTTAACCGTATTACCGCGAAATGGTATTAACATGGAAATGAATGTTACAATGTTAAAAACATCATTCGTACATAAAATCAATGCAACGTTTGTTATAATGGATGGTAAAAAACGTCGACACAAAGTCAACAATTTTCATAAGAAAAATTACGAATTATTAGTAGTGGAAGGTACTGCTTTTCGAATTCAGATAGTTAGTAATAACAAATATACAGTGAAAACTAGAGGAATGGCTTTGGATGACATTATCGTATCGGTATAAAATATAATTAAATTCAAAATATATAAAGAGACAAGTGTTACTTAATTAATTTTGATTATTTTATACAGTTCGTGGTACCATCAGATGTTGTAAAATCAGGTACATCAATTGCTGTATCTTCACGGTATTCGATAAACCGTAATGAAAGAAATACAGACAAACGATACTTGTGGATAGAAGGTGGATGGAATTTTTGTTCTGTCACCTGTGGAGGTGGAATACGTAGAAAAATGATTGCTTGTAAGGATGATAAAAGTGGAAAGATTGTTTCTAGAAGAAAATGTGCATTTGCTCCGAAACCTTCTTTAAAAATGGAAATTTGTAACACACAAAGGTATTGATGCACATATATATATTTGTTATAAACTAAACAGGTATTAATAAACGTTTGTAAATTTATAGTTGCGATTATAAATGGTTGCCAGGACCATGGGAAACATGTTCAACTACCTGTGGACATTTTGGTATTCAAACACGTCAACTTCATTGCGTTCGTTCGTCCTATAATGAAAGTGAAATAATTAGTAGCAACGAATTGGAAGCTTACAGAATAATATTGAGACCATCTTTGTGTATGGATCATCAAAAACCAAAAATTGAACAAGAATGTAATAGGGTAGCCTGTTAACAAATTCTTAATAGTCATATTTTCGATTCCATTTGTTACAAAGTATTGCAATTTAAAAGTCAATACCAATTCCAATTGGGGACTTGTATATTTTTTGTTTATAATGCAAATAATATCCTATGATTTAATAATATCGATTGATGAAGAATTTATCAGGTAATTAGGGGTCCGATACACACGTCTTTAAGTTAATTGCGATTATAAATAAGGATATAAACTATCCTATCTTTGAAGTTGGATGAAACTGCATATAGTGTGTCAAATTTGATTAAAATCGGTTCAGTAGTTTAGGAGTTCATTGCGAATAAACAACATGACGTGACGTAATTTACATATATATATATATATATTAAGAAAGATGTATTTAAATAATTGTTCATTTATAGGATTCAATAGAGAAAACTGTGATCAAAGAAGTCAATCATAATATATATATATATATATAATACAATTGTAAAGATAATTATGTTTTTTTTGTTGTTGTTGTTTTTTTTACTATAGAATTTAAGTATGAACTTTGATATTTTGTATATTTATCTGAAATAATTAAAATTGATAATGGACTAGGCTTTATTCGTATCTAAAGTATACATTATACTGATAACATCGTTGATTGCAAATGAATTATTTAATAAAATGAAATTTGTATATAAGCAAGATGTTATATAGCATTACATTAAGAAATATACATTACATTAAAAAATATGTACTTCGGATTGTTTAGTTTTATTTTTCATTTTTTTCTTTTTTTTTTTCATTTTAACATTTATTCTATCGAACCATATTTGTTCTATTTCACGATATACGCATCTATGATTTGAAATGAACAAAAACAATGAAATCATTGTTCGTCGATATTTACTATACTAATTTTCTTAATAATTTTCTTTGTTTTTTGCTGAAGATATTTGATTTCTTATTAAACTAAATAAAATCTTTGTTTTTTGTTAACTTGATCAATTTTTGTTTCGTACATTCGGACACGAATTGTATTCTTGTACTTATCTGACATCAATCTCGATATGTTAATTAGATATATATATATATATTTATATAATATTAATCTGATTTTAAAGATACGTGTAAAATGTAAAATGTAATAATAGACGTACAGAGAAAGCCAGTAAAAGATATGCTACTGACTAGAAGCTCGTAAACTTTTCGATAATTGTTTTTTTTTCCTGTTTTTTTTTTTTTTTTTTTTCTTATGAAAAGTATTTACTTATTTCTAGTTGTATTTTTATTTTCCCCTTCTTAATTATTTATTAATATATCGAAATGTTAAAATCGATTAATTTGGTTTATCTTTTTCTTCTATGCATTTATAATCGTAATAATAAGTATTGTCTGATTTCCAACTGTAATCACCTTTTTCATTTTATATAACTAAGCTTACAAGTTAAGAAGAATTCGTAGATGTCATGGCAAAAAAAAAAAAAAAAGGGGGTGCTTAAAAATTAAATGACATTCGTTATTATCGTGCTTGCATGCAAGATTCATTAATTAATAATCGTTAATATTTATATTATCTTGTGAATGTTTAGTTAAAATTAACCCTTTGACTACGATGCGCTCTCGAACGAAAATCCATTAATATGAACGAGCGCCATTTTTGCATGTCAGTGCAGTCGCTGCGACTATTTTTCACAAATAAAATAAAAATATGAAGTTTTTTTTTTTTAAGTAACTTTTTAACCTATTTTAATTTATTTTATTTATTTTGTTCATTCCTTTAATAATAATCGGTAATTTAAATATCAAAAAAAAAAAAATACAAACAAAATTTAGAATGTAACACACAAGAGTATAATAACTTTAACTGTATATTTGAATAATTTTCATCCTAATTATAAAAATGATCAAATTAAAAATAGACAAAATATGAAAATATAAAAGCAATGAACTTAAACGACATTGAAATAATTGCGAATATTTAGTTGCCATGTTACATATCACAATAAATTCCATGTTTAAATTAATCGGTAAAAAAACAGCAATAAAGGTGTTACAGTAAAA